CGTCTCGGCGCTACCGTGCTCTTTCGCGCCGATTCTATTTCCCTTTAGTCTTTGCCTCTCCTCCTGCTCGTTCTCGCGTTCGCCCTCGCCACTCTATTCCCACCACTACTTTTTACCGCTCCACGCTTCTCTTTTCTTCTCTTCTCTTCTCTTCTCTTCTCTTCTCTTCTCTTTCTTGGACGATCGGTAAATTCGTCGAGACTGGAACGCCGACGAAAATTCGAACGATTTTTCTCCCAACGAACGATACGACTTACGTAGCCACACTTTCTCGTTCCTCCATCGTTCCTCGATCGAACAACTTTTCTTCTCGCATTATTTAACCCAATATCGATCGCGATTGATCGTCCATCGGTTCGATCTCTTCTTTCTGCGCAAAGGCGACGACCACGCCGACGACGTCGACGACGACGCGAACGACGACGACGACGACGACGACGCCGAGGATACTGGCGAGAGAGAAACGATCGGGGAGAAAGGTGGGAAGGAAAAGGAGGAACGCGAGGAAAAAGATGCCGAGGCGGTCATCTTAAAACTCGGGCCGACGAAAGATATCTTTATATTCGTCGAGAACTTCCGGACGATGGACACGGTCGGTTATCTCTTCGCTTTATTATGCCCGATTCCTGCGGAGCTCGGGAAACGAGATAAAACGAGACCGGAAGAAAATATCGGATTCGATTCGGCACGAGTCGTTGGAATACCGACCGATAAATGGGACGGAACGCGAACGGGGCGAACAAATACGACCCGCTCCGTTCGAACGCCGCGCGTCGACTGTCGAATATCGCAACGACGCGTGTCGCGTTCGCGTATATATCCTGTTTACTACTCCCCGCCGCAACCTAGCTGTAACACCGTGTCGTGCCGTTCGTCGTTCGTCGTTGCTGCCGATCTCTCGTCCAAGCGGACGTCGACTTTGGCATCGCGTGCTACCTCGAAATCGCGAGATTCTTCACCGAACTCTCGAGCAATTTTTACCGACACGGAACGGAAGAAAAACCGACGACGTTTCGGATCGAACCGCCGGAATGGTTGCTTATCGCCGGAAGGGTGGCCGACTAAATGGAGCAACGTCGACTAGGAAATCGAGACGACCGAGCGATTGGAGTAATCGCGCGCGAGGTCAAAAGTCGCTTCGAAACGACCATCTCTTTCCTGTCCTTTCGCTCCTCTGCTCTACTCTATTTTACTCTATTTTACTCTATTTTACTCTATTTTACTCTATTTTACTCTATTTTACTCTATTTTACTCTATTTTACTCTATTTTACTCTATTTTACTCTATTTTACTCTATTTTACTCTATTTTACTCTATTTTACTCTATTTTACTCTATTTTACTCTATTTTACTCTATTTTACTCTATTTTACTCTATTTTACTCTATTTTACTCTATTTTACTCTATTTTACTCTATTTTACTCTATTTTACTCTATTTTACTCTATTTTACTCTATTTTACTCTATTTTACTCTATTTTACTCTATTTTACTCTATTTTACTCTATTTTACTCTATTTTACTCTATTTTACTCTATTTTACTCTATTTTACTCTATTTTACTCTATTTTACTCTATTTTACTCTATTTTACTCTATTTTACTCTATTTTACTCTATTTTACTCTATTTTACTCTATTTTACTCTATTTTACTCTATTTTACTCTATTTTACTCTATTTTACTCTATTTTACTCTATTTTACTCTATTTTACTCTATTTTACTCTATTTTACTCTATTTTACTCTATTTTACTCTATTTTACTCTATTTTACTCTATTTTACTCTATTTTACTCTATTTTACTCTATTTTACTCTATTTTACTCTATTTTACTCTATTTTACTCTATTTTACTCTATTTTACTCTATTTTACTCTATTTTACTCTATTTTACTCTATTTTACTCTATTTTACTCTATTTTACTCTATTTTACTCTATTTTACTCTATTTTACTCTATTTTACTCTATTTTACTCTATTTTACTCTATTTTACTCTATTTTACTCTATTTTACTCTATTTTACTCTATTTTACTCTATTTTACTCTATTTTACTCTATTTTACTCTATTTTACTCTATTTTACTCTATTTTACTCTATTTTACTCTATTTTACTCTATTTTACTCTATTTTACTCTATTTTACTCTATTTTACTCTATTTTACTCTATTTTACTCTATTTTACTCTATTTTACTCTATTTTACTCTATTTTACTCTATTTTACTCTATTTTACTCTATTTTACTCTATTTTACTCTATTTTACTCTATTTTACTCTATTTTACTCTATTTTACTCTATTTTACTCTATTTTACTCTATTTTACTCTATTTTACTCTATTTTACTCTATTTTACTCTATTTTACTCTATTTTACTCTATTTTACTCTATTTTACTCTATTTTACTCTATTTTACTCTATTTTACTCTATTTTACTCTATTTTACTCTATTTTACTCTATTTTACTCTACTCCGCTCTACTCTACTAGAGAAGATACCCGGACGAATAGATTCGTTCGCGAGAAGCGAAATTCCCGCTCTCCTGGAATAACGTCGCGATCGATGACGCGATACTCCTTCGACGAAGCGTCGATTTATCGAAAACGGAACGCCGCTTTCGAGGAATCGCTCACCCGTTGGGACAGGTTCGCGCGTCGAATTTCGCGGAAGAAAAAGTTTTGCGTGTTCCAGTCGCGAGATCGTATTTTCGATATACGCGGGACGCGTGATCGAAAAGAGCGATAAACGGGAGGGCCAGAAGAAAGTTGAGGAGAGGAGAAGGCTCGGAATCCCCCGAAACTCGCGCTTCTTTCTCGAAACGCATCGATCGTTTCCCGTTTACCTCGCGGTCATGTCGTTCCAAGTTGCAGTCATCGGAGCAGCGTCGCGTCGCTCGTTTGTTCCTGGAAACGGCGATCGTCGCGCGAGCTACCTAGAGCGTGATTCATGGATCTCGAGGACGGCCAACGCTTCCTGCATGCTCCACGCGCTCGCGCTCTTCGCGTTTACGCTCGTTCCCGTGGAACAAGCCCGTTCCCGCTAATACCCCGTAATATCCCGCAATATTCCGATGACTAAGTCAATTTCGCGAGCCGGGTTCTTTCGACCGCGTCACGACCACGTCAGCTACCTCGATCGTTACGTTTCGTTCCATTTCGTTTCCTTTCTCGCGCATCTCGCGCCGTTCGTTCGACGCTTTTTGCCAGTCATCGATGCAGAAAGATTTTTCTTTTTTATTTCTTTTTTTTGCGAACCCGAGACCGCACGCGACTTAACGAACCTCCGAACATCGAGCTACGATCACGAGGATTCGCGATCGACTTCGACGTAATCGTTGACGTTGCCGGTCTTTCCGTTCCTACCCATCATTCTCGACTCGACAAGGAATGCCGACCAACCACCACCGTCACCACCACCAACACGCGCTCGCGTCGCTGTGCCGTACCGTACCGAACAATCTCTAAAAATAAGGAAGCCCCGTACCGGTGTTTCCCGTTCGCGTCGTCCAACCGACTCGCGTACAGCGTTAACTAGCCGAGAAAAAACGCGTTCGTATCCCATCGACCGATTATTCCTCCGTTTCGATTTCTTTCGCGGCTACCGTTTCGCTCGACTAATTCGCAACCGCGTCGTTCGAGCGAGAAAATACGGGAGATTAACCGTTGCGTCGCGTTCCGTTGGTAGGTAGGCTAATCGCACGTGGGAACGAACGAGTCGAGGAACGTCGCCGAGCCTTTGACGGTGCTCGATGGGTCTTCTCGAAAGTTGACGCGTTTTCGATTACCCGCGAAACCACGCATTCTCGTGGTTTTTAGAGCTTCCCGTGCCACCTTTCCTTCCGCGCTACTACCTACGCGATGCCTCGCAACGGCTATCGAGAGTCTCCTTCTTTTCCTCTTCTCTCCTCTTCCCTCTCGCTCCATCCTCCTCCTTTACCTCTCATCTGTCCGATCGCGCTCAGCATTTCTCTTCTCATTCGTTCTCTCATTCTCTCTCGCGCACAAATATAATAACGATAATTGTATCAGAAATAAATTCTTTATTCGTAAGCAAAAACTAGTGACAACGATTTATTGGCGACTCCGCGACGAGCATTCGGGAAAGTCTCGTTTCTAACAAACTCGATCGGTCAATCGGAAATTAGTTAGAGAAGCGAGAAACGAAAACGTCGCGAAATCTCTTGGGCAAATCTAGCGAAAACGTTAGGCATCGGAAATTCGCGTCGGAAGATTAGGACCAACAACGAGGGAAAAGAAAAACGCGGATCGCGTGCGACCGTTTGAATTTTAAACGATTCCAGTTTGTCGAGCGATCACTCGATGAGTCAAGTTTCCGACCGAACGCGACATCCTTATTCCCCGTTACTCATTCGCCCTCGACTACGTTGTTAACGTTTTCACCGAGTCACCACCTGTCGTCCGTTCTACCGTTTCGCTTCGTTTCCGTTTCTTTCGTAACGTGCCCCGTTTTCAGATTCTCCGACTGGTTGAACGCTAAGAAACCCCCGGTTTTTCCAACGATTCCCAGCTCCAAGTAACGAGCTCCAAGTAAGAATAGTCGGATCGAGTCTCGGCGGATTCACACTCCGATCCGGTCCGCTTGCTGGATTTTACCACTCCAACACGCCGGGGATGTACTTCTCGATCAGCGACTCGTAGTACGGCCAGAGTTTCTCGATGTCCGGTACCTCGCTACTTTTCGTATACAGATCGTGTTTGCTGCGAAATGCAACGCGTCCAATCCGTTAGCGGGGATAAACTCTCGCGAAGAGAGAGCTTTCGTACTCACTTGAATTGATGGATCCACTTTAGCATCTGTACATCCTCGTCGGTACAAAAATGCATATAGTCGCCGCCAGCGTGCCACGGGTAGAAAGAGTGATAACGAATCATAGCCAACGCTTCCTTCGGTAGTTTCGTGTTATTGTGTACCAACACTTGATACAAATACTCGTCGTGACCCCAGGACATTAGAAGGTTGTCGATGCCGCACTTTGGCTGATACATGCCGTATTTGGTGCTTACGCGAAAAAACGAACGTTCAGATCGATCGCGAAAGGGAAGAAAGCGGTATCGCTCGAATCGACGAAAGCGAAGCTTACTTGTATCGAGAGTCCTTGCCGTCCGGATTGTCCTCGAAGCTGCTTTCTCTGTAGACGATCGAATCGGCCCAGGCGCATCCGACGGGAAACGTATCGCCTACCACGGCCCATTGCGGTTCGTCGAAGAACGCCATTACCTGAACATCCAACGAACGATAGGACGCGATAGTCGAAATACCGGCGACGCTTTGCTTACGTTACCTTGCCTAAATCGTGAATCAAACCGGTCAAGTGGAACCAATCCAAATCGGGATGCTCCTTTCTGATAGACTCCGCGGTTTGGAAGGCGTGCACGATATTCGGCAAGTCGGTGTCCGGATCGCTCTCGTCCACCAAATTATTTAACTTGATCAGAGCGTCCTTTATCGTCATTTTCAATTTGTCGAATCGTAGCCATTTCTTCATACGGGCTGAAACGAGAATCGAGAAAATCGATTCGGGTCTTTCGCATCGAATATATACTCTTATTCGCGAAAACGCTACTTACACCTGACGAATTCGACCGTTTGGTTGGCGTGCATCTTCTGATAGGTTCTACGAACGCGTTCCTTCACCGGATCCGTCGGATCCTCGGAATAATTGCGAAACTCGCTCTGCAATTTCCCCGCGTAAATCGGCTCCGGCCGATGCTTGTCCGATGGGTCCAGAATAGTTTGCCGTTGCGGCAGTGCCTAGCGTCAAACGAATCGATGCTTTCGCCAAAACTTTTCTCCTTTCTCCGTCGCGTCGCGTTCGAAAAAACCGTCGTAGCTACTTTTTTCTTCCGCCGAGATTCGACGAAACAACGAACGAACGGAAAGAAAAATGGACCAAGAAAAGGAGTCGTAACGAGAGATCTATCGATCCACCAGGCTAATCGAGACGGTTCTTCGATCAAACGGCCAACGCGTGTCCCTCGCTACATACTATGCCGATGATACTTACGATCGTTTTGGCCGACATCTGTCCTGTATGTCGATATAATCCGACGGGTATCGAATACGCAACACCGACTGACTAGTCCCATGCGGCCGACTTAACTTATAAATCTGAGGCAATTCACCCTTGACCTCTGCTTGATCAAACTATGGTCACGTGTGTAATGTTCCATACACGCTATCTCGTTTCACCACATTCGCGCTCGTTCCTAAACAGACGAGCAAAAGCGATGAAAAAAATATCGTGGAATTTAACGATTTACGAGTAGAGTAAACTTCAAAAGCGTCGACCGATCTCCCCTCGATTCTCTCCCTACCATCGCCGCTTAAATTCTTTTCCCGCGAAACCGAACGCCCCTTCTTCCTCTTCTTCTTTATCGTCGACGTCTCCTCCTCCTTCTCCTCCTCCTTTCCGCTCTTCGACGCATTCGTCGCGGTTCCTCCGTCGCCGATTCCTCTATTTCTTCCCTTTTCTTTCCCGCCGATAATTCGTTTGTCCTCTTCCTAGTAAGAATTCTTTTTTCAAAGCGCGCTTCGCGATGTCAAATCCGAATACGGTTATATAAGTAACGAAGGACTTAATTGGACGTAATCGTATCGAAAGTGGATGCGCGAAGAATATCGTAGTTGATACGCTTGTGAATGATATTCATTATGCGACGAAAAAATAATTTAGATTCTTCCGGGAACGAGACGCGACGATGGAATTACGGTTACCGGTATTTTCCTAGCAGGCTCGTGAAAGACCACCCTATTCGGCGAGCGATTACCGAGTTCTCGAAGTTGCGCGACGCGACAAGGCGCAACGGAGAGGAGGACGGAACCGAATGAACGTATTACGCGAACGCATAAAGATTCTTTCGAACGGAGAATCAACGACGCTTTCAACCGTTAGAGTTTGCCTCTCGTTTCTCCTCTGTTCCCGCTCCTACGGTATCCTGTACGGCGAATTCCTTCCCTTTTCGAGCGTTCTTCCTATAATTCCTCGAAATCGTTATTCTTTCTTCGACGAAATCGATCGCGCTATCACGCTCGCGTGACGCTATTAAAACAGGTGTTTGCTCGCGATTCGAAGCGCACGCGCCTTTTGCGTAGTTGAAACGACGCGTTCTCGATTTATTAAACTCAATTACGCGACAATTGATTTGGCGCAAAAGGGAATAAACCCTCGGGGCAGTTTATATTCGATCGGTGTTAAGTGCATAACGCATCGATGCTATTTTCATGCTAGGAAATTACCGAGGAAGAACCACTGGCTTACTTATTCGCGTCCACTATCGAAGCCAGGAGCGTAGAAGGGCTGCGCGGAGAACGAGGAAAGCGAGCAAGCAGGACACGGCGGAGAGGAAGAGTAAAAAGAAATCCGACCAGATTACGCGAGTCGTCTTCGTACCATCCCGTTGCGCCGCGTCGCGTCGTATGCTCGTGGAATACTTTAAATCGATAACCTTTGCTATTACGCAATCGACGCACCGTCTATCGTGAAAATTCGCATCGAACCGGCTATCGCCGAACACGCGACCGCGAAAAAAGACTTATCCTCCTGCCCCCCTTCGCGTGCGATCGAACTCGCATATTTTTTGTAATCGGTCGCGACAACAACCGACGGATCAAAATATTTTCCTCTCTATCGCAACGTCTCTGTACTTTTTTATCGCGATTCCCGATAACTCGAACATTTAATCGTGTCCTTTCTAAACACGAAAACGAAACGAGAGGTATGCGAGTGCAAAACGCGAGCGAATCGTATCTCTACGGCTGCCCGACAAAAACCGATTCCGCAATTATACATATAAGCAATAAGTTCCTTCCGCCGAACGAACAATATACACGCATGCGGTACGAACGATACTTTGTACATTTCCGCGTTCCCGATAACTTTACTCTTATCTCGACTCGACTCGTTTCACCGTTCGAACGTTGATCGCGCGCGAACGAGATCGAATGGAGGAAAAGCGACATGAAAAAAAAAAGAAAAAAAAAAGAAAAAAAAAAGAAAAAGAGATGGCCGATTATCAGATACGATCTTCTAGCTAAAAATTTCTCTTTATTCTTCGATCTTGTTTCCCCATTTTCCATGGTTTGTTCATTTCTTGGACAAAAGTCGTATTAAAATTATCATTGTAAATACGCGCGTACAGAGGCGCGTATCGTAGATATTGCGTATCGTTGTATATGTACAGTTTTACACGTATCAAAATGTTCGCAATAGGAATAACGAATAACGGATACGGATATCGAATAACGAGTAACGGATAACGGACAACGGATAACGAGCAACGTTTCAGGGTGAACTCGAATCCGAGTACGACGAGTTGCTTCCTCTTCGTCGCGCGTTGTGCTGATGCCTTCGAGACGGTGTTCTCGACGGAGATCTGTGCTTGGACGATGACTTTTTGCTCTTCTTGGACCTGTGCGATCGAGAACTACTCGGACTATCGTGGCTGCTATAACAAACAGAACACACAGCTGCGAGAAAGAAAGGAAAAATATCGTAATAGAAAGAAGACAGCTTTATCGTATCGATGGACGGAGACGAAAGCCAAGATCCGTCGCGTACCTTCGGTGCGAACTTTTCTTCTTCTTGTGTTTCTTGTGAAATCTTTGTCTGTCCGCGCAACTTGGCCCTCCGCTGGGACTTCTCGATCGCGGTCTAGATCTTTTACCGGTCAGGTCCGCGCTCTTCAGTCTGTCCATCAACGAGTTGCCTCCGGTCCTCGAGTCGCACGATTTCGCGTCGTCCAAGGACGGCGAAGGTGACGGAGACGGAACGGAATGCACCTCGTCCGAGTCGTCTTTCCTCGCCGGTTGAGAAATACCAACGATTCCGCCGCTATCGTTGCCGTTTCCGCTACTACTTTTCGGCAATACCGTCTGTATTTGGCTGAGAAACGCTGCCGCTTTCTTCTTTCTCTCCAACTGAAGTTGCCTCTCTCTGGACGTAGCGGCCAACTTGTCTCGCGCGGCAGCGACCAGTTTATCTTTTATTCTCTCCTCGTTCTGTTTATTGTGTCTGATCTCCTTTTGACAATCCTCGAGAATTTCGTCGGTCAGATCGACCAGCTCCTTCTCGTCGGTCTTCGACTTTTTCTCCGACTTGCACGCCGCGTCTTTCTCCGTCGTTCCGAAAACGGTGAACAAAGCGTGCTGTTCGGTAGAGTCCGGCGGCGAGCTCGGCTTCGAAGCCGAGTTACCCTCTTTGCTCTCGTTTTCCATCTCGTCGTCGCTCTCCTCCAACGGAAGCGCGTTTCGCTTCTCGATTACCCCGGTTTCACCCTCCTTTGGTTTTTTTATGGAGAACGACACCGTCGTCACTTGCTTCCCACCTACCGGTCCTCCCCCTGATCCCATCGGCTGCTTCACCCTCGAGTCGCATTTCTTCTTCGCTTGTATCATTTTCACCCGCTTTTGTACCTCCTCCATTCTTTGCTGTTTCTTTTGCAGTTCCTCCAACTTTTTCTGCTTCTCCTCCTGCGGTTCTTGTTTCCGCAGTAATTCCTCCTCCGTCAGCACCTTCGGATTCACAGCGCCCTCGTATATAGTCAACTTGTGCGCGTAGTAGCCGTGATACTGATGCGACAATTCCAAAAAATTGAATCGCGGATCTCCCTTATTCTTCACGATCGCTTCAAAGTCTCGACCATTCTTCGCTACGTAGCTGGCCATTTTATCGATGATTATTTGCACGTCCGCCGGTGGTACGATGAACGAAGGTCTACTCAATTGTTTCTGGGACGTGGTCCCGTACGGCACCAACGGCGATTGACATTCGTTGATCGCGACGTGACCCGCGAGCGGATCGGTCGCTGCCGCGGTAGACGCCGCGTTCATCGCGGCCAACTGCAACGCCGATTGTATCTGACCATTGGGTCCGTATATCACCGGGCCGTGAGAATACTGTACAGGTGCCGCGGCATAAGGACCGTATCCCTGTTAATTAATTAATTAATCGATTTATTCATTCGAATTAATCGAAAGTTATCGTCGACCTTACCTGCCCCGTCACTGGATGATAATACCCGGTCGTGCTAGCCGTCGCTTGCGTCACGTTCTCCGGCTGTTGCGAAGGAACTTTCGAAGGTGGTGGTTTCCCGGTGATTTTATTCACGAGCATCGAGTATGCACAGTCCGCGGATGGTTTGTACTGTATGCTCGGGATACTAGGAGCCTACGCGAAACGAAAACGTAGATCGTGGGGTCTGTCGAATGATGCGCGCGGGACACCAACGATAACACTTACCGCCTCTATCTTGGTGAACGACGGCGCCAAACTCGGATGAAGATACGGTTCGTCGTCTTGGTCTGACGATCCTTCTTCGGGTTCTATCATTGAAAAGAATACGTAAATGAGTAGAGCGTCAAGTTGTACGGCTACTAGTCGTTCCTATGTATCGCAGAGCATCTGTACATGAACAAAAACACGTAAAAGTACTTACGGACAGAAAAACTAAGCGGAATCAAAGTAGAGATCAGTGGGTAATGAAATCCTGCTTTAAATCTCCTCGATTATTACGACGCGGCGGTCTCGCGCTCGACCGTATTACCGTAAGACTCGTTTAAATAAAACAGCATGCGTACCAGATTCTTCTTCCTTCTCGGGCTGCTTTTCAGGATTGTACTTTCCACTCTTGATAGCATCTAACACGTATCTATAATATCGATGCAGCGGCCCGTCTATCGACAAGAAGGAAAATTGTGGATTGTTCGCTTGCTTCGCTTTAATCAAGATCTCCATTTGGCCCCCTTGACGACTTATAAACAACGCCGTTTTCGTTATGATGGCATTCAGTTTTTGCGTTTCCGGCTGTTCAAGAACAATAACAATAACACGCTCTATTATAAATACTGTTCTACATTCGGATACACGTATCGCGTTCGATTATCGCGGTATATAGAACGCGGTGTTTACGACTCGCTCGCGTAATCCCACCAACGATTACTACTTTCTCTACCAACCAATGGAATACCGTCTGGTATTTCCAGATCAGGAGGCGGTACGAAAGCCTGATCCTCCTCCTGGGATCCTTCGGATCTTTTCGGACTTTGCGAATCGTCGCACGCGCTCTTCGAACCACCGTTCCCTTCCTCGTTGTAATCGTACGCCACCCGATTGTACGCGTTCTCCGAATCTAACGCTTGGTGCAGTCTCTTTATTTCTTCCTCTGAAAACATACACGCGTTCCGTCGCGTTATCGCAAAACTGCTTCTCCAGATATCCTCGGTTCTTCTTTATACCATAGGCCACCTATTTAATTACCCTACCGTGATACATCGAGTCCTCCATTTCGTTGTTGTACAGAGACCGATATCGCTCTTCGTCGCAGAGTTGTTCCACTTTCAGCTCATCTTCCGTCAGGATCGTTCTTTGATCGAATCCACCTGTCGGTGGTTCGTATATCCGTAAGTCCCCCAGCGCTCCGCGTCCATCGTATCTATACACATACAATGCTCGTGTTAGGGAAAGAAAAGGATGTTGCGCGTTTTCGAGAATTTCCTCAATTTCGGCATCTGAAAATTCTGTTACGGAGCAAATAAACCTCTGTCAAAGTCTCATTCCTCTGAAATAGAATAGAATTATAGAGAAACTCGACGACATACCGTCGCGTATATCGACACGATCGAGAATCGACGACGCGTTACTCTACTTCCTCTAAACGATATTACGTATACTTTAGAACCTTTTCCTAATCGAGATCGAACGACGTGTCACAGACCGACCGAATACGAGCGATCCGCGATCGTTCGTATCCGTTGGTTGAACGATCGCGGCGGTACAACCGAGTCTACGAACGCTAATACATACCATGCTGACCGATTGTATTACCTACAATCGTCAGCTGCCGTTTGTCTCTCTACGCTGTGTCTCACCTTGCTGCTGCGCCGACGGATCAGCCACGAACACCACGAACAACTTCACGAGAGCGCGTTGCTCTACGGCCGTGCAGAACGCGTATACCGCGCTTCCACACCGCCCGTTCACAGCCAACGCACCTGCAGAAACCTTAAACAGTCTCCAGATCGCTTAGCCGCACGTTAACCGTTCGTAGTTGCGTTTTTCCGACTGCTTTGCTGCACTTTCTTTACTTTAGTTTACTCTGATATATCGTTCTTCTAAAGGTTACATGTACGGTGCATTTATGCAAGAATAAATATCCTAGATGATTTGAGAAATTTGTCTAGGTTAGGGAAACGGACCTGTCTATTTTCAACGTGTTATCGCCCATCCATGGTATCAAATGCTTTCCTTGATCAATCATTTTCGCCTTGTCATCATCTCGAAATAATTTGCAGCTATATCCAAACACCAGCAGCTCCTGCGGTTCCTCTTCTCCATTTTTTTTACGCAGAATTCCCGAATCTACCATCCAACGCTGACTTTTCGATGCCGCCATTTTCCAACTACTAAAATTAACGTTTCACCTTCTCCGGTGCCGAGCACTCGCATCCATATCTACACACACACACACACACACACACACACACACACGCGCGCGTGATTAATCTGAAGTTATCCCGGAACGTCGCCATGTCGCGATGGTACTTTCCAGTATTCGATACCAGAGGGCCGATCACGAAAATACGCGCGTAAATACGAAATTGCCTGGTCCAATGACCGCGAGTCGCGTAACGTCGATCTATGGACGGGTTGTACGGGAATAAAAATGTAGAATTAAAAAAGTTGAATGGATTTACTTAATGATAAATTCAAGTGTACAACAACGCTTGAGCACGACTAAACTTATTCGTTTACGCTATATGTCGTGTATATACATATGTATTAAACTTACGTATCGAAAAATAAGGCAGGTTCATACAACACACCGATGATATTGTTTTCAGCTTTGTAAATTGATAGTAAAGTGACGCGTATAGATTAAATTTCGCGTTACACAGGGAAAACTCGAGATTCGGTTCGTGTACAGCGAGATTCGTTAAAAAATTAAATGTATATACGTATACGCTTCTCTCGCCGCGACTCGTTCTTACTTTCTAACTGTATTCGTAATCGATTTCGTTCAGATTTCATTTTATTTTCGTGATAAAAGTCATGGTGAAACGAGTACCTTCGTCGAAGGATCGATACTCGGCATAATATACCCGAACATGATGTTATTTACGGCTCGCGCGTAAATATCGAACGCTCGCAATGAAAATTGTATAAAAAATAAAATATAAATTATTCCCGAATAATAACTAGTCTAGCTACTGTATGGAATGTAGAGAAATAACGTTAGTATACCGTACAAGCACGATTGTCAATACGAACCGGTGATCTCGAAACAAGTAAACACGTTCAGCAAAATTGTTCGTTTACGTCGCAACGCCGTACGCTCGATATGTTCGTTACCGCTCGATATATCCGTTTCCGCGCAATATACCCGTACGCGTACAGCATAGCGTATAGTATGGTATAATATAATATCGTATTGTTTGATTTTAAAAAACAAACTTTGCGAATACTAGAATAAAAATATTACGCTATTCACGTTCGTCATAAATAGAGGACAACGTTTTCGAGGTAGCACGTTAAAAGAAAAGCTTGCAAGCTTTTATTTGAATTTTTTGGAAAATCACTCGTGACGGTGCAAACGATTCCATTTCGATTAATCATAGACACTGCATCGAATACACATTCGTTTTTTTCAAGCTATCGCGTTTCTTCTCATGAAACAAATATCGACGCTTTAGCTCGCTTCTTTTTTAAAGCGATTTCTAAAGCGATTTCTAAAGCGATTTCTAAAGCGTGCGACTCGGAATAAAGGAAATCTCTTGAAATAACTTGATCGCGAGAAAAATTGACGAACCAAAAGTTTACGCATACAGGGGAAAAGGATATTCGATTCGACGAGTATAAATTTATACCGATCTTGCAAACTAAACGAGTTAAACAACGAATAGTTTGCACGAGCGATATCTATAATTTACATTCGCTCTTTCCATCGAGCAACTTCTTCCAAAGATCAAATTGTTCGCTGTATTTCACCATATGAATGCTGATACCACGTTGAACGTTGCACGCGCTGTACGATATTTTCTTATTTAAAAATTCGTTAGCGTGCGTCCTCTTAATTCCTAATTTGTCCGCGACGATACCGGTCACGAACACGTCTTCGAGTTTCAGATACGTTTGATCCAATGCGGCGTCGTAGAGTTTGCGAACGACGTCGCTGGACAACAGATAAGCCGGGCCAGTAGTAAAATCTGGAAAAACGGCATGCTTGAACTGAGTACGAGATACGTAATACTTGCTCTTTTTATTCCTGATCGGTTTCCATTTCTTGGCCAGTCTACCGAATATCACGTTTTTGTTTTTCGCGTGTTTCATTATAAAAGTTTGAAGCCGCGGAACATTGATAAACATGTCATCGTCGGTCTTTAAAAGAAATTTAACCTTGGAACAGTAACTGTCTACCCATTCTAGGGTAGATATCGTCTTAAGCGTCAAATTCGAATAAGAATCTAAAAATTTTCCCCGTATAATATTATTATAAGTCTTTTGCTCCTTCTTCAGAATCATTTCCACCTTTGGGTCCAAGGTTGCACCCAACATAAATAAAATTCCGATGTCGCTTCTTTGACCAAAGTGACCCCACGTTTGTCGTATAGCCATTCGAGCCTCGAGATGGGTCGGCGCAGACATTATTATTATAACCAGATCCATTTCTTTGCCAAAATTTGGACAGCTCTCTGGAATCGGAACAGTATGACCAGCCTCGTAAATAGCGCGCAAAGAATACTCGTTGAAAGCCGTAGAAACTTGTTCGCTTTCCACGGACGTGTCCTTGACGGAAGACAGAGCTCGAGAACTAGAAGACGGTGGCAACATCGTAACCAGAGAATTGGATACGTTACTGGTATTTTGCGAATTGTAAGAACCTATTATAATCGAAAGTTCTACGGAAGCGTTCTTCGATGGAACATTCGCACGCTCTTCTAGACTCGTGTTTGCACGCTGTTTGTAAGCTTCTCGAAAGGGTGGTTGGCCTAAATATAATATATATATATATATATATATATATATATATATATATATATATATATATATATATATATATATATATATATATATATATATATATATATATATATATATATATATATATATATATATATATATATATATATATATATATATATATATATATATATATATATATATATATATATATATATATATATATATATATATATATATATATATATATATATATATATATATATATATATATATATATATATATATATATATATATATATATATATATATATATATATATATATATATATATATATATATATATATATATATATATATATATATATATATATATATATATATATATATATATATATATATATATATATATATATATATATATATATATATATATATATATATATATATATATATATATATATATATATATATATATATATATATATATATATATATATATATATATATATATATATATATATATATATATATATATATATATATATATATATATATATATATATATATATATATATATATATATATATATATATATATATATATATATATATATATATATATATATATATATATATATATATATATATATATATATATATATATATATATATATATATATATATATATATATATATATATATATATATATATATATATATATATATATATATATATATATATATATATATATATATATATATATATATATATATATATATATATATATATATATATATATATATATATATATATATATATATATATATATATATATATATATATATATATATATATATATATATATATATATATATATATATATATATATATATATATATATATATATATATATATATATATATATATATATATATATATATATATATATATATATATATATATATATATATATATATATATATATATATATATATATATATATATATATATATATATATATATATATATATATATATATATATATATATATATATATATATATATATATATATATATATATATATATATATATATATATATATATATATATATATATATATATATATATATATATATATATATATATATATATATATATATATATATATATATATATATATATATATATATATATATATATATATATATATATATATATATATATATATATATATATATATATATATATATATATATATATATATATATATATATATATATATATATATATATATATATATATATATATATATATATATATATATATATATATATATATAGAGATAAATAAAAAACATAGAAACGATATAAAATACATGGAATAAGTTATTGGAGAGAGCTTTGTTTAAGAGAGAGGTGAAAATTATGAGAAAGTTTTAAGGATACTTACTAGTGTTCCGAAATATAGAATATCGAGTTACATCGTAATAAGTAGTACGGTAATACGCGTAAAATGTTAACGCGATCAATCCTAATATAAGGGTTTGCAGAGGACGATTACGAACATATAATAATTGATGCATCGCGAAGTGCTTCTTCGTTCGCTTATTTTCCTTCGAATGAATCTTTCTTCGGTCGCGTCGCGTTGTAACGTATCATCGAACAATTCCAAGAGCGACCGATACGTTACGGGTTCTCGTTAACTCCGCCACTGATACAAAGTTGTTGTCGAAGAGAATCGGCGAATATTTCGACGAATCAGCTACTCCCATGCTGTTACACTGTAAGCGATGATATTTAAATCTTCTGAAATTTTCTCCGCTTCATTTAACAGATTTTCAAACACGTTCACCGACAGATGGTCGTTCGTCCTTTAAATTCGCTTTATGCGAGTCTTGTGTTTAACCAATAGCCAAAACATGGCAATTATTCACGCATCTCGTTAGAACTCGGTACAAACCAATTTCTCAATTTCTACACAAACAAGTATTTAGGTATATGTATACATATGTCGTGTATAGAATTATACGCGGAAACTAGCGTAACACGCAAACTAGCGTAACACGCAAACTGTTTCGTCAAACAAAACGGTCGCCATCATTTTGCTGATCGCTGCTACTACTACGACTGTACGTGACGAATCGATACATCTCATATCGATAGAATCGATGTATCGTACGTTACGAGAATCTCGATAATTCATTATTCGTATCCTCTGTCGATTAATTTTGTCAGCTTTACTATCTCGTGTGTTTGTACGTAGAACATTAATATTCTATTGAAATTTGAAAATAGTACCGTAATATTGACTACCTACATATATAGATATTTAACATTTCGTTTATATCATTGGTCGTAAATCTATCGTAGTCACACAGTGTGATACAAAGATCGATCCACAGAATAATTTCGGATCATAAACGAAACGTAAAAATGTCTCGTTTTGCGAATAAACGGAATTTTTCGTAACGATAGTTGATCGATTGGCGCTAGATGGTGCTAATAGTAATGTTCCGAAGGAGCGCGCGCGCGTCAATATGTATAAATTTAAAAATCAAGATTCTCGGCTATGTTATTTAGGTAGAAGGGTATCTCGTAAGTATATAGCTTTAGTTCGAAAACGAATTCGAATTATAATATTCTTTACATGTACATAGATCAAATTGATAATTAACATTTCAAATAATTATGTTTTCTAAAATATTTAAAGTATTTAAAGCAGTCCAGACCAGACTGATCCTGTCAATCCATGTACGTAAGATACCTTTTCAGAATTTCGTTGTATTCGGCAACGTGCTCATTGATACGAATACGCGAGGAAAGAGATTGAACGAAATGAAAACGACTAAAGTATTTCGAACGATTAGAAAGGAGAAACGACGACGAGGTAAGAGAGCAGAGAAAGAACGTAGAGGGGATGGAAAGAGAAGAAACGAGAAAGAAAGAATAGGAAGAAAAGAGACATCGCGCGAAGGTATTTCGTTCTAAAGTTTGTGATTATAGGTATGTATATGAGGAAGTACATACAAAGAATTGATCGATAACCTATTTTTCCGTAGTTGGCGCGGAGCCAGAATTTCATAGAAATACGCTGACTAAATAGAAAGACGGACAGCGTAACCTCGGCCTAGGTCACGAATGTTTTCAAAGTTGTTGAATGATTTCGGTAAGTTGTATCGATTATTCGTAAGAAGCAGATCGGCCGTCGATCACTCGACTGGTCGTTGGGCCGATTAAAAACCGATCTGTACGCTCTTACGAGATCACCTTCGTCTTTTCGTTAACAAGCAACAATCGTGCGGGCTCGAACAAACTCTCCTATCTTGTTGCGAGTATACGAGTGGAAAACTTACAAGTTTCGAAACGTTGGCGTACTATGTCGGCAAATTCGCGCGGAACTCGTGTTTTATTTCAACTAAATTTCAAATTTCATTCGTTGCTTTATAATATGTTGTTATTGCGGACAACAGTGACCAGTAAAAGGAATTTTAAAAGAGGATTTTAAAAGAGGAAAGCTGATTTTTTTGAAAGCGGAAGAATCGAATTGATCGAGAGCCGACAAGATGGAAGTAGGAAATATATTGGAACAGGGGTCGAGTTCTAAGAGAAATTTTTTTGATCGCAACAACGCGAAGGTAACGGCAACAGCAACGATGCCACCATCGACAATCGCGCGCACTCGATCGATATTCTCCCACTGCTATTTTTTTCGTCTCTACGTGCCACTTTTCTTACCGCGCGTCTTTATTTTTTCTTCCTACTTTTTCCTGCTCTTTTATAAGAGATAAGAAATATTTGGTATCCAATATCTTTCTCGACACCGCGTATTTCATTCTCCCGTTTATTATTCGTGTCTCTCGATTCGCCGCCACGCTTCTCATTATGTTTCGGTAAATTTTCAACGCATACACGATCAATGATATTTCGTTTTATCGACGGTTTCGTAATACCTTTTTTCTTCTCGATTCTGTTCAGGTTCGTAGAGCGCGTCGCATCTATTCGTTGATCGTCGAGAGGGCCTCCCTAGCGGCGTATAGTCGACGCGGCGCGGCGCGGCGCGGCGCGGCGGTGCGAACGCGACAGTTTCAACGAACCGCGCCGCGACCTCGACGCTCTCGTGCAGGCTCCGTTGAATATGCATGCAAATTCCATCCTGTTTACATCGCGTATCCAATAGGTATCTGGCAACCGGTCGACCGATCGCGATCGCAGCTACTGACACAGATATTTTCTTAACCTCTAAAGGCGCCTGCCTACGGTCGGTTTTGCGCCTGCACCGCGAACCTCCTATGCGAACGCTCGCCTCTCTATCCACCAAGGATCTTACAGGCTCGAATATCGAATAGTAATTACGCAACACAGAAGCTATTGTGGGAAACGAGTACTAGTACTAGTGGGAAACGAGTAATAAACGAGTAAAATCGAATTACTTCGATTTTCCAACGAATTTATTTGTTTGTTCGGCGAACGATCCAGCCCGAATTCGATTAGTCGCTTTAATATTTACATCGTACGCGCCCCGTTTCGAGCTACATCGTAGATGCTAAATTTTTCATTAAATTTCGTCATTCTTGGAAATTCTGTCGAGCTCAACGACCGATCCTCGCGCACCATCTGCCAAAAACCATTAACCCGATTTCTCTGCTGCTCGCTGCAATTCAGAGATCTCGAAAGATTTTCTATTTACCGACAACGGCCGCTTCGGTCGACGCGATTATCGTCCGACAAAATGTTGCTGGTCGTTCGTCGATTCGATTATTCGAAAGGTGAAGAAATTTCCAGGGATTCCGTAAAAAGACATTAGCACTTCGAGTCGAAAACGAGCAGAGAGAGTTCGACGACCGAGTTAACTAGACAACTACTAGAACAACGTCGTCGCGTCGCAGACTCGAAGAGAATTATTCCGCGAGCCGAATTGCGTAACGCCGCGAGCCGAGAACGCGTTGTTGCGCAGCTCCTAGGTAAATGCACGCAGCTACGTACACCTTGGAATATTAATCGT